GTTGTGGTGGTTGGTGGTGTTGTGTTGGTTGGTGGTGTTGTGGTGGTTGGGGGTGTTGTGGTGGTTGGTGGTGTTGTGGTGGTTGGTGGTGTTGTGGTGGTTGGTGGTGTTGTTGTTGTGGTGGTGGGTCTTGTGGTGGTTGGTGGTGTTGTAGTGAGTGGTGGTGTTGTAGTGAGTGGTGGTGTTGTGGTGGTTGGTGGTGTTGTGGTGGGTCTTGTGGTGGTTGGTGGTGTTGTAGTGAGTGGTGGTGTTGTGGTGGTTGGTGGTGTTGTGGTGGGTCTTGTGGTGGTTGGTGGTGTTGTAGTGAGTGGTGGGTGTTGTGGTGGTTGGTGGTGTTGTGGCGGGTGTTGTGGTGGTTGGTGATGTTGTTGTTGTTGTGGTGGGTCTTGTGGTGGTTGGTGGTGTTGTAGTGAGTGGTGGTGTTGTAGTGAGTGGTGGTGTTGTGGTGGTTGGTGGTGTTGTGGTGGGTCTTGTGGTGGTTGGTGGTGTTGTAGTGAGTGGTGGTGTTGTAGTGAGTGGTGGTGTTGTGGTGGTTAGTGGTGTTGTGGTGGGTCTTGTGGTGGTTGGTGGTGTTGTAGTGAGTGGTGGTGTTGTGGTGGTTGGTGGTGTTGTGGTGGTTGGTGGTGTTGTGGTGGGTCTTGCGGTGGGCGGTAATGGTGTTGTGGTGGGCAAACAGATCCTTATAGGTCCTATTCATATTTGTAATTTACAAATACGTGCTCCATTTACGTGCTGGCTGCACGTAGTGGAGACAGCACGGGCGAGTGGCAGACGGTCCTGGAAGAGAGAATCTTTCACCCAAACTTTCGTGGTTGAGGTTAACGAGCATTTAATACACTAGTTTTGTTAATCACTGGAACTGGTGCTGTATAAGAAGTGATTAGAACAGAGTGACATGTGATCCTCCAACCCGTGATCCACCAACACATGATCCACCACCTGAACGACAACATTTAACACTGAACAACGACCACCAACACGACTCCTTATCGCTGCCGGAAGCACAAAAAGGAAATGCATGAGAGTTGTTTATCATGCTGATTGTTTGTTTACATATACGAGATGAACTTAATAATAACAATGAGAAATAAAACACACACAGAAAGGGCATTAAATATATTGTGATCCAAGTGATCTTTCACATTGGGAGCTGTGCTGAGCGACTCTTAGCGCCAGCCAGGTGTGTCACAAAAGTACAGGCAGTGAAGTCAGATGTTTACTGATTATCTGTCGGATCTCAACCATACTACAGGTGTTAGATGAGGGAGATATCAGGTGTTGTGGTGGTGTGGTGGCGGCATGGTGGACTGTGGTGTTGTACTGGGCGGGTGTCTAAGGTATTTGTTGATCTGTAGCAATTTACCAACAGTACAATATTGCAAATCATCCTCCTGTTTAGATAGTACTATTTGTGACTATGGGCACCATAGTACTAACATCAACGTACTAAGCAATTAGATAGTAGACTTTTGTAGTCTTCACTTTATAGAATTCGAAAAAAAATGAAGCTAAAAACAAACTTAAATATTCCGAGGCACGTGTACACATATGTGCACACATATGTACTATATTAAGCCTCAGATAGCGTGTATTGGGTCTAGGAAGGTTTGTTTTTGCAACATAAGTAGAAAATCGTTTCCGGTTCGTCCAAATTCAATAGTACCGATTTTCTACTTTCTAATTGCGTTGTACGTCGGTATGTGTACTATAGTTCTCATCCTTCATATATGTTCCATCAAGACAGGAAGATGGACTGAATAGATCAGTCTCTCCGATGTTGGACTTCCTAACTTGAAATTCATGGTATATAACTTTTTTTCCATAAGAATTCATAAATAAACCAAAGTGTAAGATTTCCATTGTAACGTTTTATTGTTACGTAATTTTTGGTAACAATAATCATAGATAAGAACAATATATATATATATATATATATATATATATATATATATATATATATATATATATATATATATATATATATATATGTAGTATACAGGAGTTTGTAGGTGTGCTTGGCGAGTATGGTCCGTTTTCTGTTTTGGCTCCTCTGGTGGGTGAGGATTATCTTGAGGTTATCTTGAGTCGATTTCGGGGCTTTAGTGTCCCCGCGGCCCGGTCCTTGACCAGGCCTCCACCCCCAGGAAGCAGCCCGTGACAGCTGACTAACACCCAGGTACCTATTTACTGCTAGGTAACAGGGGCATTCAGGGTGAAAAAAGCTTTTCCCGTTTGTTTCTGCCTCGTGCGGGAATCGAACCCGCGCCACTGAATTACGAGTCCTGCGCGCTATCCACCAGGCTACGAGGCCCCTCATACAAAATACGTTTGTTTTATATAATGGAACGGTGCTGAAGTGACCGGAAGGGACATTTCGGAACGTATGAGGCTTGGACAGCGGCATGAAAGCCGATGTGGTTTGAGGAATTGAATAAATACTGACGCCAGCAAGTGGCAGGATCAGTGCTGTATAGGACATCAAACGCAACCCGTCCTCTTAAAAATAACGTCACTTTTGGCTCGTATGCGCACTATGGCCAAATTTGGACGTAATTTGAAATTAAATCGACTCACAAAAGTGACTTATTGTCCCGTTTTCTGTTTGAGTCGTCCGGCCTAATCGGTAAGATTAGAAGAGGAAACTTTCAAACGTTTTTCATAACGTTTTGAAACTTTATGAAAATTTCCTGCCCATCTAACCTATCAGAGGACCCTTAACTTACTGTTGTTCAAAAAAATCCCAAATTTATTTTATTTTTTCATTTTCAAATTACGTCCACACCTTACCTTGAGGTGCTTCCGGGGCTTAGCTTAGCGGCCCGGTCGTCGACCAGGCCTCCTGGTTGCTGGACTGATCAACCAGGCTGTTGGACGCGGCTGCTCTCAGCCTGACGTATGAGTCACAGCCTGGTTGATCAGGTATCCTTTGGAGGTGCTTATCCAGTTCTCTCTTGAACACTGTGAGGGGATTGCCAGTTATGCCCCTTATGTGTAGCGGAAGCGTGTTGAACAGTCTCTGATGTTGATAGAGTTCTCTCTCTCTGTTGCACCTCCGCTTTTCAACGGGGGTATTCTGCACATCCTGCCATGTCTTCTGGTCTCATGTGATGTTATTTCTGAACATACTGTTGCAAGACAGGATCGTTTGCCTTAACTGGCCGCCCCTCCTGCAAGCATGTTGCTCTGTTGAGTGATTCTTCCTGTGTCGTGCGGACTTGATGTGGCTGTCAGAAGTAGCTCTCTGAAGGAGGCGTGCTGGAGCAACAGGGAGGAAGAGGAGTAGGATGGGATTTCTACTGTTGGCAACTATATGAAGGTCTCGAAACTTGTAGTCCCTATAGCTGTGAAGAACCCCAATATACGTCTCTCATGGTGACTGACGTAGGGCCAATTACAGATCCTGGTTGCTGGACTGATCAACCAGGCTGTTGGACGCGGCTGCTCTCAGCCTGACGTATGAGTCACAGCCTGGTACATGAGTGATCAGTTTGTCGGCCTGAGTATCCGTTAATGACCTTGGATCTTTTAAGAGGGGATTGCCAGTTATGCCCCTTATGTGTAGCGGAAGCGTGTTGAACAGTCTCGGGTCTCTGATGTTGATAGAGTTCTCTCTCAGAGTACCTGTTGCACCTCCGCTTTTCAACGGGGGTATTCTGCACATCCTGCCATGTCTTCTGGTCTCATGTGATGTTATTTCTTTGTGCAGGTTTGGGACCAGCCCCTCTAATATTTTCCACGTGTAAATTGGAAAATACTGGTCATACTGGTAAACGGCCAAAAGCGACGTTATTTTTAAGAGGACAAACGAGGCAGAGGGGTTAGGACCCAAGATGGCCTCGCTGAGCTGAGATAGTTTCCACACGTTCAAGCTGGTTGCTCTACACACACACACACGCGCCCACCCAGTACCGGGCAGGTGTCCTCGATAAAGTTATGAGCGGATCGTGAGTATTATGAGTAACTAACATTAGCTGATAATTTGCGAGAGAATTTATGGAAGTCTCTGTTAGTTAGTTAGTTAGTTGAGTTCATTTATTATGCACCCCATACCCATCTTGTGGGCGGTAGTAGAAAGGGTTACAGATGCACATAATGGGCTCAGGGACTGAACCCCACAATTCATTTAGTCTCCCTTACCGAAGTCTCTGGAATCACGATTTGTGACACTAGGCTGTGCTGTGGGCTGGTGTAAAGATTGTCTAACATTGTATATAAATACATGAATAGATTAACGCCTAGCTGTGTTCAGATTATCCCTTGTGTTCCCACCACATCTGGGAGCCTCATTGTTGGAGGACTGGTGCATGCTAATGTCATACATGGTTAATATAAGTATATATATATATACTGAGACAAAGTTACGAGACACGCATCCCGGACCTCGTTAGTATACAAACCACCAGCCCCCCCCCTCCGGTAGTGTACACCAGCAGGGCCCCAGCCAGTAAACATACCAGGGGGGGTATGTTTACCGACTGGGATCTCCAAAGGCCCCCTTTGGGGAAGGGGCCTTTTGCATACCTGGCCTTTGGATACCTTTGGATACCTGTTATCCTGGTATCTCTAATAGAAGGGAGCCTTTGAACACCAGCAGGGGCCCCGGTAGTGTACACCAGCAGGGGGCCCTTCAATTAAACACCACCAGGGGGCCCCGGCCAGCACACGTGTACCTTATCCGCACACATCACCTGTCTCTCACAGCTGTTGTACATATTTATCTCGATGGGGACCACTTCTGCCACTAGTACACGTGTGTGTGGGTACCTCTCACCCTATTTACCTGCCGCTGTGTGGTGCAGGAGGCGGTAGTTGGCCCTAGGAACAACGACCTCACAATGATGATTGGAAACGTAGGCAAACAATAATATGATATAGGGTTCGTATCCCCTATAATCATCGCGTGCAGTTGTGTGTTCCTATTATAGGTATAAATAAATAAGGAAAATAGTGTTTGCTCACTGTTTATTATACATTTGCTAAAATATTAGTTGCTCAAGTATTTCAAGCCATTCAAATGCACTTTTATCTGTCTTGTGCAAAAAGTACAACGCCTCGTTATTTTTATTAATCATAAAACAGGCATTATAAAAATGTGTATCAATTTTTATTATCATTGTCATTTCAGAAAATATCGTAAATTATCGTTACTCCAGCATTTTTGACAGATGTAAAACAAGGTTAGTTGTGAGTCCTGTGATGTTCCTGTGAAAGCCTTACTGATTGTGACACAAACTACAGTAACGTCGTTAACTGCGGCAGTGTCTTAGAGCAGTGTAATAACCAGCAGGCACTCGTGGTGGAGCCTGGCACCCCATGAAGGAGGCACGGAACAAGTACTCCCCCCCCCCCGTCCCTGGTAGTGTGGAGTGAGACAGGTGATGGGACAGGGGACCAAGTATACTCCCCTGGTAGTGTGGAGTGAGACACAGGTGAAGGGACAGAGGGCCAAGTATACTCCCCTGGTAGTGTGGAGTGAGACAGGTGATGGGACAGGGACCAAGTACTCCCCTGGTAGTGTAGAGTGAGACACAGGTGAAGGGACAGAGGGCCAAGTATACTCCCCTGGTAGTGTGGAGTGAGACACAGGTGAAGGGACAGGGACCAAGTACTCCCCTGGTAGTGTGGAGAGAGACAGCATTAATATAATGCACATATGTATTCAATATGATGGGATATTATAATTATTTGTTGTATAAAATTAATTTTGCTTATATTTTTGCAAGAGCTATTCCGTGATGTTGGGTTTTTTATTATGATAACATTTCTGACTTATGATTGAGTTTGTGTTGGGACAAATGCCAGGTGCTCCAACAATTTGTCTCTCAGTTGAGTTGTAAACACAGGACTCTTGGGTAAGTGTTGTGTCCAGGACCAGCAGGACTCTTCAAATGTTCATGTAACCACTCACGAAACCTGTACATCTTGCCTTAATCATGGCGGCTTTGTTTACATTTATTACACAGTTCATAAGCTCCAATACAATTCAAGGTTGTGAATATCAATACTAACCTTGGGTTGTGACGTTTCGAAACTTGTAAACAGTTTAATAAGAAAGATCCGAAAGAGCTGTGATGAGGATTCGAATGTATGCGGTGGGTGTTCCCACGCACACACCCTAGTCGGCTCTTAGGGATATTCTCATTGATATATCATGTTATCATGTTACTGTGATTCCTCTCCGTGTATTGAAACAGTTTAATGATTGTAAAGCAAATCGCCATAATTAAAGAAAGATATATAAGTTTCGTAAGTAGTGGCGTAAATGCTAGATTAGTCTTGATCTTGGTTCACTATCAAGCCAATCCAGTTAGCAAGGACTTTGCCTTGGGACATAACAAAGGGAGGAAAGGTTGGCCAGCGAATTTGTTTCGTGTAATGATGATGGCTTCATTGTCATTATTGAGCGAAGACATATTGTTCATATTCAGATATGCAAGTGTTGAGTTCACATTATATATAAATATGTGACTAGATAACTAATTCTGTTTACATTGCTTACACGTACTTATTGTATTGCTACTTTGAATATGCTCATACATATTTATTTCAACCCATCCTACTGAAATGATAATACATATGGTAACTATTTGGCCTGGCTGTGGTCTGGGAGTGCTGCCTCTAATGGTTCTCTTTTTAATACACAGAGAAATCACATTAACGTCATGATGTATCAATGAGAAAACTTAGTAGGAACCATGATGAGGATTCGAACCTGCACACTGGGCACTCTCAAACATGCCCCAGGCATGGAAGCCTCAGGACCCGAAGAGGATATAGTTGAATTTAGTTGTCGGGGCCGAATTGTTTAGGGCACATGCTTGGAAGTACCAAATGCCCAGGTTCGAATCTTCATCATGGCTTCTACTGATTTTTTCATTATAATGATGCCACAAATAAGATAGTACTGAGTTAGTACTGAGTTAAGAGTGTTAAACTAACTAGTTAATTAACGAGACGAGGTTTGTTTACCAGATTATGCTCAATAGCCTAGTGCAGTTACAGGGGTTAGCTATTAAGTGACAGTCTAATAATATACAGGTTTTGTTTAGGGAGATTTTATACTTTATTAACGATAATTATTTTATGCATTTTAATTAATGCTATGTTAATATAGTTATTTCATTTGGAAAGTTTACACACGTTTTGTATTATCCTCTCTACCTATTGACATTCTGCTAGAGTTCAAATTAAAATTCCCTTGTAGACTATAAGTGGAACTACATTTAAGGATAATGAGATCAGAATCGGTTGATTGGAAGAGCCGGTGCAGATGTAATCGAATAGGGTGCACATACCTGACTTCAGGCAAAGCGACTGCAAATAAAAATCACGATGCACTCGCCTATATTTCTCGCAAGATTGCAGAAATTTTAAGAAGAGCGGTAGTGGATCTTCAAATAGATAGTTTCGAGACAGTAAGTTGTTATAGCAACAGGTCTTGTAGTAACTAACCCGTGGGAGAGCAGCAAACATGCCAGCTATTTTTCAATGTACTGTACAATTTGTTTATCCTCGTTTAGAAAGCAATGTTGGAGAAATATGCATTGAATGTTTACGATGATATGAAATAATTTTTTTCCACCAAACTCTGCTTGGAATTACTTGAGAGATCCAAACTACTTTTTTACCAATTGATCTTGGATTGTTCCCTCTGAAATCGAAATATCTATTGAACTTCAGTCTTTTGATACCGGCCTCTTTAGCCAGAAGGCCAGTAATGTAGGTATCGTCCACCCACAGGAAGGGGACGACTTCAGAGGCTTTCAGTAACCGTGGGATGAGCTTTGTTTGTAGGAACCACATAGCGCCCGCACAGTAGGGAGGATAGATGTTAGCCGGATACTCCTCGTAACTGACATTCCATTTACCTGATCTCTGAGGTCCTCCGGTTAACTGGAAACACACAAACCTATGGCTGTGGTCGTCGTCGAGTTCCTGGAGGGCCCTGTAGAAGAGGAAGATGTCGATGTGCGTGTCGTCGTCAGCGTGTAGGGTCCAGGGAACGTGAGAACAGTGTTTGTTGATCCAGTACAGGCTGGCCAGACCCTTGTAGGTCAACAAGCGGTAGTGGTCGCCGTAGTCACCCTGTAAACAACAAATGGAACGTGAAAACAGTGCTTGTAGATCCCCAATACAGGCTGGCCAGACCCTTGTATCTCAACAAGCGGTAGTGGTCGCTGTCGTCACCCTGCTCAGCCAAACTAAATCAAGAGAGCGAGTTTTTCTTTGCTGTACTGGAAAATTTTAAAAGTGAACAGGGGTGCCTCTTTAGGCACTCCATTAACTGTAATACTCTCAACCTTCACATTGTCTTTTCAGTGACGTTCTATTTTATTTTAGGTTTATTTTCAGATTTATTTTTTCACTACCATGTGATCTATAATTATCTATAATTGTCTAAAAATTTATTATTTACATTCTGACTTGTGTTATGACCACGGTGGTCTTGGATAGTGGAGTATGATACATTGCAAACAGATAAAGAATACATATTGAGTCTAGGCGCCGTTGAACCTACAATGCTGTCAGACGTATGACATTAATACCATGTAAGCTCCTGACTGGTTTTAAGCTCCTGGCCACCAGTCTCATTTAATAACTGTTATTATTGTGTGCAACTCTAGTCTTGCCCAATTGTTATTGTGTTTTGTGGGAGTAAAGCTAGAGAAGATTTTCTCGTGTACTATGAGGTTAAGAGACATTCCAGGTGTACCTCCTCCAGAGGTTTTAGGCCTGCCTAAGTATCTTGTTTGTGGGCCTTTATTCCTGTCCTAAGGGGGAATACTGAGCATAAAGTAAATTTCAACAGGCAGTGCCAGGGGTTTTGTTATGGAGGAAGCACTGTGATTAATAAACCTGTAAAATTACTCCAATTTCATTGTGACCATTGTGGGGGGGGGGGGGGTTGTAATATATCCTTAGTGACAGGACAGTTGATGGGGGATAATCTCCCTGGGGGCCGGGCCAACATGCACCCTGCCTGGTGGGCTGTAACTGTTAACCTTTCCATGTGTTACTGCAGCGCAGGAATACTCTAGAGTGGTAAGTGACACTTAATGTAACCACAAATCTATCACAGCTCCGTTGCAACTTGTTGGCAGCTGAGTCAGCAAGTGACGTCAGCACCACTTCCATGGAGGCCAAGGTAGTAAGTGATGTTAGCTTCAATTATATGGCAGTCAAGCCAGTGAGTGACATCAGATTCACTTGCGTGGCGGCCAAGCCAATGAGTGACGGCAGTTTTACTTGTAGTGAAGCCAAGCCAGCATCTGTATTTCTTCACCAAGTGTTTACATTAAAGTGCTCGTCGGCGGAATAAAATTCACGTTTAAGAGTTAACATCATTTTTCCCCTACAGAATGGTAAATGCAGAAATATAATTTGTTGTATTTTATTTCCTCGCAATTGTTAATTTGTCGGAGAACTACACGGGGCAAAACTTCTCTTTCATCTCCCTACATCCAAATTACTTTAACTAGATGTTTCCGTGTTAAAATACATCATTTCATGTGATGGCTCTAAGCTTTAGATGATTCCGCGAGTTCTACTTCAGCAGCCCGAGCTGTAGCCAGCTTCCCCTGGGTGACTGCCTGGCCGGTGAGGCTGCTTGTCGTCGTAGACGGTAAGAAAAACTATTTTTTGAACATTCAAAATATTTTGTTCGTCATGGGATATATCCCGTTTACTTACCCCATCCACACTTGTTCTCGTATTGTTCTCCAACTTACTATTTGTTTATGCATGCAAAAGAATTACATTCTGTTAATCACATATATATTTTAACCTGTGCTCAAAACAAGTTAATGACAATTAACCTTTTTTATGGTAGTAAAACATCGACTCATCTGAACATTGTAGATGTATGACCACATCTGAACAATGTTCTCTTACGTTGACCCGATCGTGGAAGCCTTGACACTGGACAATGTGTCGGTATCATTGGCTTAACTGAACGGTATAACGGTATCGTGCACTTACCTGAACGATGTCATGGTAGCGCTGACTCTCCCTCTGAACTATTTGTCGCTCCAAGTCATTCTGGGCTCGTCCCACCATAAAGACGACGCCGACCTTAACGCTGATGTCGCCCAGATCGTAGGCCGAGGCATTGGCCCAGGTGGCGCGGATGTTGTCTCTTTGTTTGACGTGCAGGATGGCGGAGTGCACGTAGGTGATGACCTGTAGGCCGGGCCGCTTCTGGCAGTAGTCCACCTCTTCGATCATGAACCGCGTGGGAATACTGGCCGGCTGCCTTACTGGAGACATGTTTGGCTTGTCGGGGATGAATGCCGGAGGTTTCTGCTGGCAAATCATGCAAGTTTTCACAAATTTGTAGCCTAGCGGAGATATATTGTTAGCGATAGCTTCGCCTTCAGTCAATCTGTGTGAAAATAACTTTCAAGATCATTTGATTACAGAGTTAAATCCTAATTATAGAAAATTAAATAAACATTACACATACCTGGGTGGAGAGTTCGTATATGTCTCAATACCATTTACAAGGGTTTTTAATTTTAATTAGAAAAAATAATATATTTGTTTTGCACTACATGTTCGTTAAATGTTTTCATTGCGCCATTAGGGCGATATTTATATACTTTCCAAAGAGTTTAGATCGTGAGGTGTATATCACATTACGCATGCGAAAATAGACCCTTGAGCGACATGGCACCAATTATAAATTTAATATCCTGGACATTGTCCAGGATATTAATTGTATGTATAGCAACAATACATAATTGTTGCTATACATACTTTTTGTGCACCATATTGAGGGTATGACTGCTTATACACTTGCAGAATTATACCAATTCCTTACATCGTAAGACCCCTTTCAACATTCCCCACCCTGTACTTGCTATATTTAGTTCTATAATGAAATTATTGTAAATGTTTCGAAGGACCAAATTATATTAATAATTAAGAGAACCAGTGGCTTATGGAACTACAATAATAAATTCATCAATGTAATTAAATGAATTACAAAAACAATGAACTGTAATAATAATAATTCAGAACTAAATCCTTACACTCTACAACTTGGGGGTTAAATAATGGAAAAGTTAATGCACTTCAAATAATAAAATATTGAGATGGTAATACACATCTATTAATTAAATAATATATAAAATATAATTTGACTTTCAATAATAATAAATGACTATCTACAATAGAATACTGGAAACGTCTTAGCTGTTTCGGATGATCGTAGATCACGTCCAGCCTCTACAACACTTTTAATCCAGTCCGAGATATCTATCCATGGGAACACGGGATCATGGAATCAGTAACACGTCTGATTCAGGACATGTTAATTCTGATTCACTGATACTCTGATTCAAAGGTATCAAAGATGTAGTAGTTAATAAATGGAATGCATTAGGAAGTGATGTGGTGGAGGCAGACTCTATACACAGTTTTAAATGTAGATATGACAGAGCCCAGTAGGCTCAGGAATCTGTACATCAGTTCATTGACGGTTGAGAGGCGGGACCAAAGAGCCAAAGCTCAACCCCCGCCACCACAACTAGGTGAGTACGTCTCCCTCAGTCTTAATACCACGCTGAAAGGCAAAACCTATATAATTTCCACTCCAACTTAGTATTCGCGCATTTAACCGCAAGATCTAATATAATTGGAGAGAAAAGAGCTGCAGGTGGGTGTTTTATATCGCCTGCATTGTCACGACAGGGCACCTACATTAAAGTATAAAATCCGGCCCAATTAAATATAAATGAGGTATAATGCCTTGCTGAACATGGTGTCCGTAAGTTGTGAAAGCCGCACCCTCAATCGGAAGCTCGTAGAAGTACGGATGCTTGCAAAATCGATCGATTAATATGACGAGTCTCTCTCCTCTTGCTTCCAGTGGCGCATGCACTCTCGCGCCTCTGCTGGAACTCCGGGTATAATTTGTAATATTTCAAAGAGTCCCGAAAGGATGGAGACTTGTATGACGAATATTTACGTCATAATACGGGGTTTTATAAGATAGTAAATGATATTCCATAGTGCTAGTCAATTAATTTAGATGATCTTAAACGCTCGAGAATATTAAGAGTGGAACTCAAGTTTATCGTTTTAGGTACCGGAATAGCTGATCGAGACTGTATAAATTATTTCCAGTAAACGAACGTATATACTATCAAATGAAAATAAATCTATTATTAAGCAATAATCCTTAATAAAGAAAAGTAAATGAGGCTGGATACATTTGATCCATTAATATGTGAAATTATTCTCGGTGGCTGGCTGGCTGACGCAACCACAACGGCCATGAATTCTAGGGAAAAAATATGACGTTTTACGTCTTAATTAAAGAATTTTAACATCACTACACTACAGGTTAGTAGTGTTTGTAGATTAGAATGCCTAGTACAAGAATTACCTCTTAATGTTCAAGAGATTAGTAATGAAGTGTTGGAAATTTCCAACATTTCCCCAAGGTCACCACAGTACCAACCCAGAACTTTTCTCAGCAAATAGCAAATCACAAAAGCTACCTCGTTTTGAGAGCCAGTTCAGCTGCGGTGAGGGCCAGGGGAAACTGCTCCTCTCCCTCCTGCCCCAACTGGCACGCAATGTTTGGCCCCTGCAGCTGTGACAGCTGTCTCAAGGTCACTGTGCCACCTGCCACATTCTACATAGAAAATTTTTATGTTGGCTGTCATCATTATGTACTGTCATAAGGAGAAAGTTGCCAAGAAGGATGAACAAGATGACTTTTAAGGGTACAAATAAGTCTTGTACCACCAGTGTCTCCTCGACCTGCGTCATCTTCATCCACGATGAAGGTACAAGAAGAGAGAGAACAAGGGAGAGAACAGTGGAGTGGGATAGAACATCTTGTTCTCTGTTTCGGGAACAGTCCACAGGAGAGAGAACCAAAAAGTGAAACAAGATCTTTCCAAAAAAGCTAATCCATCCCACTGGAACAGTACGAGTTGCCAAGTAGATAACAACCCGAGATAAGACAATCTAAAATATAAATTAACAATAATAATAATTAATTATTTCTATAATCCATGATATAATGGAATATTCGTAGGTGCAAAATGTACATAATATACCAACCCATCTACCTGTTTAGATAGTACGTTTTGCAACTATGTACACCATAGTACAAATATTGATGTATAAGGCAGTTAGATAATAGAATTTGGTATTATTCACTTTATAGTTCGAAATAAATAAAACTAAACAAACTTAAATACTACTAGGCCTAATATAGCACATATGTGTAATATATATAAGGCCTCAGATAGCGTGTATTATGCCTAGGAAGGTTAGGTTGTCTGTGCAACATAAATACATAAATTGTCTATTACGTCATGTATGTACTATGGTCGTTACTATAAGTACTTATTAAGTAGAAGGATGGGCTGAATATATATATTCACTAATCCACAGAGCCTTTCGGGCATAACTTGACGCTATTAGGTACTTTCTAAGTTAAATGGGGTAGCAATTTAATGCTAAACGAGAAGCAAGTTAACGTTACTGCATTGTTAAAGAGATTTAAGATATGATTTACAAATTTTAGATGATATTTAGAAACTTGTTTTAACAACACTACAGATATAATATTTAATGTACACAATAACGACAAAATACAAGTTAACGGGTAGGACAAGCAAATTTAAGTTAATTAAATCTTCACAGAGAAATCACATAAACTTGATGTATCAAAGAGAAGATCAGTAGGAGCCGTCATGAGGATTCGAACCTGTGTTCTGGGTACTATAAAGCACACGCCTTAGATAACTAGATCACGACATGGTCAAAAGGTTAGTAACCTGGGATTCTACTTTTATTAAATTATTTATTTATTTATACAAGCGTTCTTACATTCTTGTACAGCCATTAGTAAACAGCGCTTCGGGCAAGTCCTTAATACTAATTTTCACACACACACACACACACACACACACACACACACACACACACACACACACACACACACACACACACACACACACACACACACACACACACATATCCCCAGAAAGCAGCCCGTAGCAGCTGTCTAACTCCCAGGTATTTATTTACTGCTAGGCAACAGGGGCATCAGGGGTGAAAGAAACTTCTCATTTGTTTCCGCCTCCGCCGGGGATCGAACCCGAACCCTTAGGACTACGAACACCAAGCGCTGTCCACTCAGCCGTCAGCCCTACAGAATCCACGAGGATTTCTGAGGCTTCCACTGAAGCCGAAGGAGAGTTTCACACAGTCCCCCCCCCTCCCCCAAGCACTTTTGTTCTGTAGTCCAGGAATGCTGCCTCTAACGCTTCATCTTTCAAAGCACAGAGAAATCACATTAACGTGATATATCTTTGAGAAAATCAGCTAATTATGATAAAAAAATCTTAATTAAATATGTTAAATACTGTTAATTAGGTAATTCTCTTTTAAACTGGTTGAGAGAAGTGCAGTTTTTCAACTCATTTGAAAGATCATTACATCATACATCATCAGAGGTCATACGAAATTTGCATGGAATTTCTAGTTTGGTTAGGTTACACTCGTGGTATATCAAATAGATGTTTGTTTCTAGTTCGGTGGCCATGAGTTCTGTTACAGCCCTCTAGGAAGGATTTAAGGTCGAGATTAGTGGTGCAATTCAAAGTATTATAGATACAGAGTACACTTGGGAGTGTGTGTGTGTAGTGACGATACTTAACATTCAAGGTCTTTCTGGGACTGAAACTTGTTACTGCTGATTTATGTTTAATAATTAATACTAATCATCAATACGTTTAATAATTCGTAGTTTAATCATCATGGGTCGAAGATACTTTTGGGTTCTAGATCCTCGGGCACAGGCGCTATAGGTAAGATAATAACCTTATTATAAGCGAGGAATAAAGTGTTACTAAGGCAGAGCGAGGTATGCACTATCGGATGTTAGAGAGAATGCCTACAATTTTGAAGCCTCTTGGATTATACAGCAATGAAAATCAGTTTGTTGTGAGTGTGAGCACCAATGAATTTCCCATGTACTCTGCTCTCAATTTGGTGTATTGTTAATTCTGATTTCACTTTGGCTGGTGGAATTATTTCCAAACAATGTAATACGTTTTTTATATTTATACAAATGTTTAAATTCTTTGTATGAATGTTAACTTCATTAATTGAACCTCCCTTCAATTCACCTTGATTGATACATTTAATAAACTTCAAAATCGTTATCTATAAAAGAGAATATGTTTGTTCGAGGGTGTAGGCCAGTCTTTTTTTTTGGGGGGGGGGGGGAGGGGGGGAGGCGGGGGTAGCCTCACCAGACTTTGCAGGATGACTGGTGGGTGTAGGCAGGTCGGGGTTTACCCTCTGTGCCTACCCTCCACTCTGTGCATGAAATTACAAATGATACCAATTTCTACTCTTACCACGCTCCATCAAGTAAGATTCGTCAAACATTTTATCTACATGATAATTAAATGTTAATTTATCTTATGTAAACAGTATGTAGTATAGATTATTATAATAATAATGAAAAACACACACATATAATAAGATACACCCATTACTCTTTAGCTACAAATACGAAAAAAAAAACTTCATAATAACCTGTGGCTCCCGGGTAAACAACTGCCCTTGGGTCGGAGTTAGGTTGTGGACGAGGCTTGGCCCCACCTCGTGGCCGGGCTGGGAGGCATAGGCCGAACTGTCGCCGC